GTAAATTAATGTGTTACGCGTGGCTCAAATGTGTTAAAAACGAAACCCGATTGCTCACGTGATATTTTAGATTATTGGAAAATACCATATTTGTTATATGTTATATCAATGAACATTATTCAACTCATAGATTTTCTTCTTTTCGTAGTTTGTCCACTTGGAACTTACAAATCATTGGTTGGCGACGAACGATGTGCCAGCTGTCCCTTGCACAGTGCTGCCATCTATAAAGGATCCATTGAATGTCCTTGTGAGGATGGTTATTATCGAGCACCAGCAGATCCTAAACATTTCCCTTGTTCTCGTATGTAGTTCGACTTTTTGTTTGTTATTAAAGTACTTGTATTTGGTGTATTAATAACATCTTTGTTTGAAGAAAATTAAATATACTTACTATTCTAATGATTCCGTTGTTTGGGAGGAGAAATAATCTATTCTTACTTGAATTAGTCTTTTCTCTGACTTATTTGAACTTTTATAAAAAAAACAAACAATGTTTCTGTAAAAACGTTGCATCCAAACACGTGTAGTTTGGTCGTTGAACGGGTTAGGCGCGACCTAGGGGTTGGCGTTTCGGACCATGTATCCGAGGGTTCATGGTTCGCGACCCGTGACTGCAAAAAAAAAACAACAGCAACAACTCCCACTCCGCTACAACGTCATCGAAACGTGTAGTCGTCAATTTTTTGAAAGCCATAGATAGGCCTAAATAAAATGTTTTTAATTGTGTACCAGTTTAACGTTGAATATTATTTATGATTTTAACTTTATACACAAGTACCAAAATACTATAAGTGTCAACAAATTTAGATCACTTTGTTCTATTTTGATTCTTACTCACCAGGAGAAAGTCTTTTCCGAAACGTCGTTATAAATTTTAAAATGCCAGTTTTTCAAATTCATGTTTGCTTTTGGTGTTTTCCCGATGTTTTATCTTTAACTTTATTAAACCATACCTAAGTCATCTTCCTAATATTAATATTATGTATATTAAGTAAACTTCAAACTTATTGCTAAATTATTTCATAAGTTTTATGTATTGAATTATTACTCAAATTGACTTAGGCCTAATGTTAACTGATACTGATACCTAAATATCCCTTTTAATGTTTCTCATCAAACAAACTTAAGATTTATTGTTAAACTATAAGTTATAGTATATAAAGAAGTATACATTTTTAACTTACACTTAATTTTATTCAGGTACTGTTAAACAACTAAACTGCTTAAGCTTTGTGTTCCACAGTTGATATTTAACTTTAGAAAGCAATTGATTCAGGATTCTGATTTTAACCTACTATTATTTTAAAAACCTACAACCACCCTCCAGTTTCTGATCTAGACGTCGAAAAGTGGGAGTTTTTTTTTTCTGATGTTCTAGAATTTGTTAAATGTATAGATTAGTTAGAATGTTAATCATTTTTAACTTTTTTTCTTAACCTAGAACCTCCTTCAGCTCCTCAAAGTTTATTGGTCAGTTTTGTTGACCAGTCCACAGTCATTTTGACTTGGCAGCCACCCATACACTCTGGAGGCCGGAATGACACCACCTTTAGGGTTGTATGTGATGCATGCAGTAATGCCGTTTCGTATGTGCCCTCTCATACCGGCTTTACAGAAACGAAAGTCACAATTTCTGGTCTAAACCCCGCAACGACGTATGGGTTCCAGATACATGCTGAAAATGGTGTTTCTAGCTACAGTAGCAGTCAGTTTGTGGACATAGCGGTAACAACAGCTGCTTCAGGTTGGTAATACAATCAGTATCAATAGTGGTCTCATACATGATTTTAACTTGTGTTAGAAGTTACAAAATGATGCAATTAACCACTACTGTAACATCACATTAGTTTTACAAGCATAAAAAAAAGGCCTAACTTGTGTCAGTCATAAATATGTTATGAGTAGCACACATCCTTAAAGGTTAGTTTTCTGAAAAAGTTGATACAGAAACCAGGCAGGATTTGGACCCATGGTCCACTTGAAAAGCATAGAAAAATATTCAGATCCCACTTAGTTTCAGTTTTAGATTTTTAAATAACAAATTGTTGAAGAAGAAAAAATTAAGACTGGACCAATTTCAATATCTTCCAAGTAATATAACAACATATTCAAATCTATACTGAACCGTTCAAGTGTTGCTATATACAACTATAATTTTTTCCTACTCTTACAGCCAATCGTATCTTGTGTGTGTGTGTGTGTGTTAAGTATAATTTTATATATAACTATGACGTTTTCATTCGTACAGCCAATCATATTTTGTATTTTCCCATAAGAACCTCTGAAGTTGGTATATAGATGTTATTTAACATAGTTCTCTGTTCTCTCCAGTTTACCATGTTTCTACCACAACGTCCTGGGTGGTTCAAAATGTCAGGATTATCACTGTTAAGAGTACAAGTATTATCTTGACCTGGAACCCTCCAGGTGACCCTTTCACTTCCACAGAGCTGTACCAAGTTCGTTACTTTAAACGTGGAGAGGAAAAAAACTCATCTACCATTTTAACGAAGAAACCAGAGTCTTCTGTATCTGGACTGAACCATAAGACTGAGTATGGATTCCAGGTGTGTTGGTTACATTATTATAAAGTACTGAATCCAGGTGTGTTGGTTACATTATCATACAGTACTGAATCCAGGTGTGTTGGTTACATTATCATACAGTATTGAATGGATTCAATACTGTATGATAATGTAACCAATACACCTAGAGGTGTGTTGGTTACACTATCATACAGTATTGAATACAGGTGTGTTGGTTACATTATCATACAGTATTGAATCCAGGTGTGTTGGTTACATTATCTTACAGTACTGAATCCAGGAGTGTTGGTTACATTATCATACAGTACTGAATACAGGTGTGTTGGTTCCGTTATTATAAAGTACTGAATCCAGGTGTGTTGGTTACATTATCATACAGTATTGAATACAGGTGTGTTGGTTCCGTTATTATAAAGTACTGAATCCAGATGTGTTGGTTACATTATCATACAGTACTGAATCCAGGTGTGTTGGTTACATTATCATACAGTATTGAATACAGGTGTGTTGGCTACATTATCATACAGTACTGAATCCAGGTGTGTTGGTTACATTATCATACAGTATTGAATCTAGGTGTATTGGTTACATTATCATACAGTATTGAATCCAGGTGTGTTGGTTACATTATCATACAGTATTGAATCCAGGTGTGTTGGTTACATTATCATACAGTATTGAATCCA